GTCTAGGTAGGTAGGTGTCTAGGTAGGTGTCTAGGTAGGTTGGTAGGTGTCTAGGTAGGTAGGTGTCTAGGTAGGTAGGTGTCTAGGTAGGTGTCTAGGTAGGTGTCTAGGTAGGTAGGTGTCTAGGTAGGTGTCTAGGTAGGTGTCTAGGTAGGTAGGTGTCTAGGTAGGTAGGTGTCTAGGTAGGTAGGTGTCTAGGTAGGTGTCTAGGTAGGTAGGTGTCTAGGTAGGTAGGTGTCTAGGTAGGTGTCTAGGTAGGTGTCTAGGTAGGTAGATGTCTAGGTAGGTGTCTAGGTAGGTGTCCAGGTAGGTGTCTAGGTAGGTAGGTGTCTAGTTAGGTGTCTCGGCAGGTGTCTAGGTAGGTAGGTGTCTAGGTAGGTGTCTCGGCAGGTGTCTAGGTAGGTAGGTGTCTAGGTAGGCAGGTGTCTAGGTAGGTGTCTAGGTAGGCAGGTGTCTAGGTAGGTGTCTAGGTAGGCAGGTGTCTAGGTAGGCAGGTGTCTAGGTTAGGTGTCTAGGTAGGCAGGTGTCTAGGTAGGTGTCTAGGTAGGCAGGTGTCTAGGTAGGCAGGTGTCAGAGTACAGGTGCAGGGGTGTCTAGGTAGGCAGGTGTCTAGGTAGGTGTCTAGGTAGGCAGGTGTCTAGGTAGGCAGGTGTCTAGGTAGGCAGGTGTCTAGGTAGGTAGGTGTCTAGGTAGGCAGGTGTCTAGGTAGGTAGGTGTCTAGGTAGGCAGGTGTCTAGGTAGGTAGGTGTTTAGGTAGGTAGGTGTCTAGGTAGGTAGGTGTCTAGGTAGGTAGGTGTCTAGGTAGGTAGGTGTCTAGGTAGGTAGGTGTCTAGGTAGGTGTCTAGGTAGGTGTCTAGGTAGGTGTCTAGGTAGGTGTCTAGGTAGGTAGGTGTCTAGGTAGGTGTCTAGTTAGGTGTCTCGGCAGGTGTCTAGGTAGGTAGGTGTCTAGGTAGGTGTCTAGGTAGGTGTCTAGGTAGGTGTATAGGTAGGTAGGTGTCTAGGTAGGTGTCTAGGTAGGCAGGTACTCACCGTCTCAGGTACGTTCTCGAACACCTCTCTCGCCTCCTCGTGCGAGCAGCTCTCCTCCACACACTCCCGCTCCAGGTAGGTGTCTAGGTAGGTGTCTAGGTAGGTAGGTGTCTAGGTAGGTAGTTAGGTGTCTAGGTAGGTGTCTCGGCAGGTGTCTAGGTAGGTAGGTGTCTAGGTAGGCAGGTGTCTAGGTAGGTGTCTAGGTAGGCAGGTGTCTAGGTAGGCAGGTGTCTAGGTAGGTGTCTAGGTAGGCAGGTGTCTAGGTAGGCAGGTGTCTAGGTAGGCAGGTGTCTAGGTAGGCAGGTGTCTAGGTAGGTGTCTAGGTAGGTAGGTGTCTAGGTAGGTAGGTAGGTGTCTAGGTAGGTGTCTCGGCAGGTGTCTAGGTAGGTAGGTGTCTAGGTAGGCAGGTGTCTAGGTAGGTGTCTAGGTAGGCAGGTGTCTAGGTAGGCAGGTGTCTAGGTAGGTGTCTAGGTAGGTGTCTAGGTAGGTGTCTAGGTAGGTAGGTGTCTAGGTAGGTGTCTAGGTAGGTGTCTAGGTAGGTGTCTAGGTAGGTAGGTGTCTAGGTAGGCAGGTGTCTAGGTAGGCAGGTGTCTAGGTAGGTGTCTAGGTAGGTAGGTGTCTAGGTAGGCAGGTGTCTAGGCAGGTGTCTAGGTAGGCAGGTGTCTAGGTAGGCAGGTACTCACCGTCTCAGGTACGTTCTCGAACACCTCTCTCGCCTCCTCGTGCGAGCAGCTCTCCTCCACACACTCCCGCTCCAGGTCTCCCTGGCGACGTTCCTCCAGCTTCAGGAGGCCCTTGTCGTTCGCGCGGCGCACGCGGCCCAGGAAGGCCTCGGCCTGGTCGGGACGTAGGACTGTGGGGGGGCAGGGGGGGGCAGGGGGGGCAGGGGGGGGCAGGGGGCATGGGGGGCAGGGGGGGCAGGGGGGGGCAGGGGGGGCAGGGGGGGGGGGCAGGGGAGGCAGGGGGCATGGGGGGGGGGGCAGGGGGGGCAGGGGGGCAGAGGGAGGGAAGAAAGCCCTCGCCATTGGACCAGCAGCATCATCATCATCAGTAGCATCATCAGCTGCAGCATCATCATCAGCAGCAGCAGCATCATCAGCAGCATCATCATCATCATCATCAGCAGCATCATCATCAGCAGCAGCGGCATCATAAGAAGAAGCAGCAGCATCATCATCAGCAGCATCATCATCAATCATCATCACCATCAGAAGCAGCATCATCATCATCAGCAGCATCATCAGCAGCAGCGGAATCATAAGCAGCAGCAGCATCATCATCAGCAGCATCATCATCAGCAGCAGCATCATCAGCAGCAGCAGCATCATCAATCATCATCATCAGAAGCAGCAGCGGCATCATAAGAAGCAGCAGCATCATCATCAACAGCAGCATCATCAGCTGCAGCATCATCATCAGCAGCATCATCAGCAGCAGCAGCGGAATCATAAGAAGCAGCAGCATCATCATCAGCAGCATCATCATCAGCAGCAGCATCATCATCATCATCAATCATCATCAGAAGCATCATCATCATTATCAGAAGCAGCAGCGGCATCTAAAGAAGCAGCATCATCATCAGCAGCAGCATCATCAGCTGCAGCATCATCATCAGCAGCATCATCATCAGCAGCATCATTATCAGAAGCAACATCATCATCAGCAGCAGCAGAAGCATCATCATCATCAGAAGCATCATCAGCAGAAGCAGCAGCAGAAGCATTAGCAGCATCATCAATAGAAGCATCATCATCAGAAGCAGCAGCATAATCAGAAGCATAATCAGCAGACGCAGCAGCAGAAGCATTGGCAGCATCATCATTAGAAGCAGCAGCAGAAGCAGCAGCAGAAGCAGCATCATTATCAGCATCATCATCAGCATCATCATCAGCAGCATCATCAGAAGCAGCAGCAGAAGCAACATCATCATCAGCATCATCATCAGAAGCATCAGCATCATTAGCAGTATCATCATCAGAAGCATCATCATCAGAAGCATCATCAGAAGCACCATCATCATCAGAAGCATCAGCATCATCAGCATCATCAGCAGCATCATCGCCCATTCATGGGTCGCCGGGTTCGTAGCACAGTGCGCTAACCGCTGCACCACCGCTCCTCCCAATACTCACAAAAGTCTCCCGTGTAGCCTCTAACAAGCTGTAGGGGCAAGTGCTACTCGCTACTCACAGCACTTGCCCCTACAGTCTGTTAGAAGCTACACGGGGGATCTTTGTCTGTGTCTACCTTCACAGGTGCTGCTGCTACTCGCTACTAACAGCACTTGCCCCTACAGTCTGTTAGAGGCTACACGGGGAATCTTTGTCTGTGTCTACCTTCACAGGTGCTGCTGCTACTCGCTACTCACAGCACTTGCCCCTACAGCCTGTTAGAGGCTACACGGGGGATCTTTGTCTGTGTCTACCTTCACAGGTGCTGCTGCTACTCGCTACTAACAGCACTTGCCCCTACAGTCTGTTAGAGGCTACACGGGGAATCTTTGTCTGTGTCTACCTTCACAGGTGCTGCTGCTACTCGCTACTCACAGCACTTGCCCCTACAGCCTGTTAGAGGCTACACGGGGGAGCTCTATCTGTGTGTGGGGGTAGCCCCGTAAAATCTGACTGATCCCGCTAATCTCTAACACGCATTTACTGCCCGTGACGATCAATTGGGATTACATCCACTGTTCCACTCAAAACATACAACACAACAACCGCCATTCGCCACTAAGTGGCGGTGACGTCACCACGACGCTTGTGCCAGGCCATGTGCACCTTGAGGCTACCACATGAAGTGTCGAACGGCCGCTGGCAGGAGGTCACGGGGCAGACCCAGCAGGTGCCACGGGTCGACTGACTGAGATGACCGAGATGACTGGCTGATGTACCGCCTGTGCCCCCTACTGTGCCACCTTGCTGTGCTTTAGCCACCCGGCGCTCCGCTCATTGTTGTGAGCGTCGCTCCTCCGCCCTCCGTTGTTGTTGGAGGGCGACTGCCTCCAACTGCCCAGTAGCGTCCTTCACGAGCCTCCTCTACAGAGGCCGATCTTGACACCGCTGGTACCAGTCATCGGCAAGTCCACCCAGCTCCACGTCCTCCTGTACCACGTCACTCCATCTCTTCTCGAGCCCGTGCCGCGCCCGTTTAGTCCCCTCGATCCGGCCGAACAAAAGCTGTTTGGGCATGCGGTGGCTGGACATGAAGGGCTACATGACCCAACCAACGCAGCCTTGCCTGTCGGAGGAACTCACTGATGGGGCTTTGTCCAGATCTTTCAAGGATTTGTGAGCTCCTCACACAATCCAGCCTGGTTAAACCCAGGATGGATCGTAGGCAGGCCAGCCTAAATGTTTCTAACCGGTGAAGATGTTCCATTAGGGTGGTCCACGTTTCGCAAGCATAGAGAAGGAAGGGAATGACCGTGGCTGAGAAGACCTGAAGCTTCGTGCGGAGCGACAGACCAGGTAGCTTCCACACAGCGTTATGCAACCGATGAAAAGATATTGCCGCTCGACTGATTCGGAGTGAGACCTCTGCTGTTAAACTGGAACCGGTCATAAGCACACTGCCCAGATATGGGAAACTCTCCACTCTCTCCACAACTGCCCCATCACCAATTGAGAGTTGTGGGGGTGGAGTGTCCGATGGTACAAAATACCCAGGCAGGTGCTTAGTTTTGGTGGGGCTGATGGTAAGGCCCCACCTCTTAGTGGCAAGCTCCAGGTTTAGCAGCAGCGCCTCCAACTCCTCCTCTGAGTGAGCAGCGATTACCAGATCATCGGCATACATAACGTGGTTGAGCAATAGGGAGCCATCCCTTGACCGCACCCGGGCATCGATCAGCCTCCCATTGTATCTGTACCAGATGGAAATTCCTCCGGTACAGCTATTGAAGTCCTCACGAACTACGTGGTCAAAATAGATGCTAAATAATGTGGGAGCCAGAGGACAACTCTGTCGCACCCCAAGGTGTACAGCGAATGGCTCCGACTCCCAGCCAAGTAGTTTTACCCGGGCCTGCTCACCATCATGAAGGTCCTTAATGATCGTCAGCAGAGGGTCAGGGACTCCTCTGTCAGCCAGGGTCTCTGGGGAGGTCTGGACCACGTACCCAAAGCAGCAATTGAAGCTGCATGAGTCACAGTCCTAAACCTTGCCCATTTACCCTCGATATCTGGAGGAGTGGGGGACGATGCCAACTTCAGCCACAAACGATTATGAAATTCTCCATTGGAACCTCAGAGTTATGTTTTTTGTTTGAATTATGACTGCAGGTATTGTGGTCTATGCAAACATGACTCCTTGTAAAAAAAGTGTCAGTTTTGTTGCCAGATAAAAGGGTAAAAAACCAATTATCGATTAAATTCTCGCTTGCAACTTTCATCAGCTAGCTGAGACCAGGCCACCTTAGGTTGGAATGGGGTCCTGGGTGTACACCCACCACCGTAGTGGAAGAATGGCAGGCGCATCTTACAGATGACAAGTCGATGGTCAGAGGGAAGATCAGCTCCAGGTGCAAGCATCATGACCAACTTGGGCATTGAAGTCACCCAACAAGATGACTCTATCCTGAGGGGCCACTTTAGCCAGCACTTGTGACAGGAGGTCATAGAAGGCATCTGACTCATCGACCTTGCCTGCATCCCTCCACGGATGTTCGCCTTCGGTGGGGGCATAAGTAACCACGACCACCACTCCTCGCCTCCGGTTGATGGGAAGGCGAGCCCAAAGTAGCCTGGGGCTTACAGCTTCCCACACCTCACCGCCACGCTCCCACGCCCCCTTAATTATTTTGTTCAGAAGAAAAGCCACTCCCTGTTGTTTAGTAATCTCCTGCCCCGAGTAGAGGACTGTCCACCACTCATAGTGGCAGGAGCCAGAGCCGGTCCACCGGACCTCCTGAATGCCACAGAGATCCAGGCGGTACCGGTCCAGCTCCCGACAGAGGAGTGGCAGCCTTTCCTCCGCAGTGAGCGTTCGAACATTCCACGTGGCCATCTGTAGTGGCTTTTTGTTGTTTCTGGAGTCGCCCCGAGGGTAACGATTCAATCTCCTGGCTCCGCCAATTGGGGTTTGGCCAGAAGACGTCATAGACGCCTGTCCCCCCGGGGCCTCCGGCAAAAGCTTATTAATTAGATATGTTAGACGTGGTTTAGTGGTAATTTATTGAAGGTGGAGGGGTTACCAGCCCCTCTCACCCGTCCAGAGCCCCCATTTAGCCGCTGTGATTGCTACAAATGCCTTGAGGGGAAAGGCCATTCGGAATTGGCCCTCCCCCCATGGCACTGCCCTTCCAGCACCACGAGATAGTAGGAGGTTGTTTTGCTGAACACATACATACAGACATTCACTCACCCACACACACACATACAGACACACACATACATACAGTCACTCACACATGCACACACACATACATACACTCACTCACACATATATACATACAGACATTCACTCACTCACCCACACACACATACAGATGTAGTGGGTTCAATTTAGGCGCACACACTTCTTGGGAGGCAACACTCATTTATTAATTAACACAACGTTTACTCAACAGTTACTCTTTCTCTACACATAGGGTGGTGACCACCGACCTACACTAGCTAACACACCGTTGTATTTTAGCCGCTCTCCAGCGTGACCCAGCCAGGTGGCTGCTGGCAGTCCGCTCACTGTAGGTCTTCTCTTCTGGCATCTTCACGAGGTGTCTTCATTCTTCTCAGGAACAGCCCTGCTCTGCCTTCACACCACCCTTATATCTCGTCTCTCTGGCGTGGCCGGCTCCGCCCAGGCCACGCCTCCCTTCCCAGGCCACGCCTCACTTCCCAGGCCACGCCTCCCTTCCCA